TTCGCTATATCGTCTGGCAGCCCCAATAGGGTTTCTTTGAGCAGGGCACCCTCAATTTCGGAAACGGTTTGCAGGGTTAGTACGCGTTCTGCTTGTGCAATATACGCCCATTGATTTAGTTTGATGAGACTGTTGACAGTCGAGATGAGATCTCTCGCCGAGGACTTGATCGTCTGGATATAGGTATGTGGATCTAGCTGTTCCATGCTCGGGCTTGCACTGGGTGATGACGCGGCTGTCGGGAGAATCACATGTCGCATCTTCAACTCTTCCGTCAAGAGCTCGACTGAACCAAGAATGCCGTGTATGGGCGTTCGCAGCTGATGTGTGATGCCGCGGAGGAATTGCTCCTTGGCTGCAAGTGCTTCTCGAAGTGCAAGGCCTTGCCAATATTGACTCAAAATTGTCTATGCAAAGGGTTATTGAATTAGTGTATGATGCTTATGTTCCGTATCGCTTACTACTTACCACGCTCGTGTTCACAAACCAAGAATCGACGTCGTCAAACACCATTTTGAGGTCATTGCAAGCTACTACAAGAAAGGTGGGCGCGCGTTGACTGGTGCACTGTGCAGCAATGGCACGCACAGCCCGGGGAGCGGTCATGTCCAGGTGATTCATGGTCTTGATAGCATAGTCGAAATATGCAGTGTCTTCCCAGAGGCCCTGCTCCAGTTTGGAGGACAGGAAAGTGGTACCACTATCAAGAATAATTTGGCCATTTATTGCCTGAGTGATGGTTACTTGGGCATCCGGGTAGACTTGGCGGAGCATGTTTGGAATGGCTTGTTCCATGTCAGCATATTCGTCGCACTGCTGCTGTGCATAAGAAAGCAGCTCTAGCATCCTCCTACGTTCGCGTTGACGTCTACCTCTTGCGCTGTGAACGATATCGGCGACGATCCAATCGGCGAGACGGGCTAGAGATTGCTGCACTGTTCTGGACAAGAGTTCCTGAGGGGAGTTTGAAGCGACACAGAGGGAACCAAAGGCCACGTGTTCGCCAAACTCGGTTTCAAACTTGAGCGGTACGCCAGCGTATGCACGTAAGCCTCCTTGCTCGACGTGAGGCGAATGCTTGAAACGCCAGTCTTCGACCATGTTGGGTAATGCGAAAATTGTCTATACTAATTAGCATCGGTTTGATGGAATATTAGATTTAACCCACACCTGGCGATTGGTTGATAGTGTGGGCACAAGTACTCTCACGACGCGGTAAGACAGCGAGTGGAAGATTCACTGTCACCATGCGAGTATACGTGTTGTGATTCAAAAGACCGGCGATGGCGAAGTCCCATCCTACTGTCTCATGAGCGATGAGGACTTTTTCCTGTAAACGAGACATGAGTTCTTCGTCCCCAAGCGCGCCGCGGGTGTAGTAGAAGACCATGGTTAGCCTCAGCCTCTCATTGCGGGCCAGAGCAGGGAAGAGATATTGGCTGGCATTGCATTCAGAAGGACATTGCGTCTGGCTAGGGATGGGCGCGGGCGCCCAATCATTGTCCTTTTCCGGATATACAGACTCGAGAGCTTCTTCGGAAAGCGTATCAAGCGGTAGTTGGGCATGCTCTGGATCAAGAATTGGTGCGGTCGCGGTAGGACGCTCAGCTAATGCGGGCGCAGCATGTCTCGACAAAAGGACGGCAGCGTCAGCCTTTGGAAAGAAGGCAGCACAATGGCTGTTCGTGAGCTGCATTGAAGTATCTGTGGCTTGTATGACTTCCCCGCATCGAGGGTGAGAGTGGTTGGAGACAGGATGCACGGGTGTTGTTTAGGCGGGAGCTAAAGCTGTCACGGCGGACGAAGCTTAGATGAGGCTACTCCAGCTCCAGCGGCGATTCCAACGGTTCCAAAGGCTCTAACGGACGGTCTTGAATGTAAAAGCAGTGGAGCGGTACTGTGATCTGCGCGACGATTGCTGGAAGTTTGGATGGCAGACGGTGGTATGTATAATAAGGTGGACTTGGCGCATGTCCCTTGCCGTCCCTAGGCCCAGGAAATTTCGTTAGCTGCAGGCTATCTCGGCTTGATCTTCCTGGTCCGGGCCGAATATGGACGATCGCCGTTGGAAGTTTTGAGTGATGGGTTGCGGGCTGCGTGATGACCAGCAGTAGTCTCGTAGTGAGGATCGATGCCATGCCAGCTGACTACCCTGTTCCTGCAGCACTTCCCGTGGCTAAAAATGTGAAGATGCAGGCCTCTGTCACAGCCATTGGCGCATGGGCTCGGCCAAGATGGCGAGATAAGCTCAGCAGCGGGGTTGGGGCGCTGCTCATTGGCCGTCATCATGCCCCACAAATCTCCCAACTTCACTCTTCTCTCTCGCAACTATTCTTTGCCTTGTTCGTTCGTCGCATTGTATGCTACTGAATCTTGATATTATCGGAAGACGCTGGTATCTTGCTGTTCAAATTGATGTCGGTATTGTGCTGTTTGGAGCAACGTAAGCTGGCTGCGAACTAAACCTATACTCTCAAGACGCCATTGTGTCAAGGAAGACGCGTGTACAAGACACCCATGAGAACGTTGGAGACGCGTTCAAATGCTAGCTACATATGGCTGCAACATTCTTGCGTCATGCGCAATCAGAAAACACGACGAAACTAAGCGTTCCAATCACTTTTCTGGTAGGTACCAAGAGTTTGTTACAAGAAGCGCGTGGAAAATACAAGGGTACAAAAGGCGGATGGGCATCTGATTTGGATGCATTTCGATACGAAGAAGCCACAAATATTTGCCATGTGACATACTGCTCCATACGGCGCAAACGTTGCTTCCGCAACCACATCGTTCCTTTCCATACAGTGTCCGCCCGCCGCGCCTTGACAGCTGCTTTTTCCTATACAATATCCAAGGCAAAGGCAAAGGCACACTGGCCGTAAGTCTCAAGCCTTCCCCTCATACGCTTTGCTTGACCGACCACTCTGGCTTTGTTCTGCAATCGCTCCACTACCATCAGTTCTTATCCAAGAGACTAAAAATCGGAAAATCACCTTGGAAAGATTCTGAACGCAGGAAAAGCAAGATCAAGAGACTAGAATCCGTTTCCTATCACGTGGGACCTGTGGCGAGTCACGATGTATTGCTGAGACAGCCACCATGTAAACAGCAGAGGAAAACGGGCTCGCATTGCAAGAGATTGCGACCTTCCTAGTCGCCATAAACATGAGAAAGATGTGATTGGGCGCATATCATTCCAATGGGTTCGGTCACTGGGCTGCTGAATGGTCCTGGCCGCCTTTCTCAAGGCAATCAGGCCCATTACATTGAAACGAAGCAATCGCAAGCAGTATTCCCAGATGCTAAGCAGCCTATCTTCTCTCTCTGCGCGGTCTCTCGTATATATTCAAGCATCAAACTGTGAAGCTACTCTTGCCCATCTATCCCGTCCCTCTCCACTCCGACACACCATGAGAAGCCTTTGCATCACCACACAGGCAATCCTCCAGCCCAAATTCCGGAAGAGCTGGACTGTCAGGGGCTGAGATAGGCGGTGACTTCGAAACCTTACTGGCCACTGCAGAGCCGTGGAGATTTCGTCCACTCCAGTTGAGAGTCGCACGTGACTTTGCGGCCGTACATCTTGAGCATTTCTACAGTTTTCTCTCTCACAATGCGATAGTCTCCTTCGAACCGTATATAGCAAAAGTTCTCTCTATTGTCTCTTGTATATAGTGGTGCCCTGCTGTGGTGGCCGATTTCCATTTTCCAAGGTGCACGACGCAACGACTCTCTTTCACTTTCACTGCCCACGCGCGCACACCACGTACCCCACCCACCCGCTATTTTTCTGTTTCTTCATTGCTGCGATTGCTGCCGCCTAAGACAATAAAGTCTTTCCCACACAGCTTTGCACCCACTTCTCTCCCACCCCGCAGGCCGCAAATTGACCACTCTGCTCACATTTTCTCCTGCACCCACAAGCACCAGCACACAACACCTCAATCAATTCTTTCAAAGGCTTCAGTTCTTTGTTTGCTCATGAACCCCCGTGCTCGCTACACAAGCTTGCGTACTCGCCATTGCGCCTACACCCAAGTGTATCCGCAGCAACCCAGCTCAATACAGGTTCGACCTGTTTTGATCTCGACACACAGACGATTGTCCGCGGCCACACATAGAGGTGAGTAATTCGATCCTATCCACTGCTTCCAGTCTCTAATATCTCTATAGCGGCCTGCTACACTTTCACACACACACACACACACACACACACACACACAAACCCGACACCACATACCCTCTACACCGACTGTCCTTTCATCATGTCCACCCGCACCTCTGAAGACGGAGTGGAGAGCTCTAAGGCTTCCTCTCCCACAACAGCCTCCCAGTCCGCAGCCACAACATCCTCCACACCTACCCCGTCTCGTCATCTCCAGCCTTTGCGTAGGCGGCGCAGGGCCGGTGTCGATTATGACGCCACCCTGATCCAGGGCATTGCCATCCCGAGTGCGAACATGCCAGGACGTACGCCCACTACCTCTACTTCCGCCACACCCCCAGCGCAACTCAACAGAGTCACAACCATCGATAAGAGAACCCGAGATATCGCCAGGAAAAATCTCAGCGACAAGCTAGATTTCATGAAGACATTGTGTGAAGATGGTAATGAGTTCATGCTTTGTGTGACTGCCGTATTCGCCAAGGCGTGGGAGGCGATGATTCACAGACGAGTGAAAGATGAGGGAGAGGACCTCAACGGTTATAGGGACTTCATCATTGAGGCCCTCAATCTCATGGACGCATGGTTAGAGCATTGGGACGGTCCTGAGGATAGCCAGGGTTGGACCGGTCGTAAAAACTTCGACCTACATGTCGACTCGATATGCACCGAAATGCCAACAGACCCAAGGCGCCCGGCTGATCGCTACGAGAGCCTGCGCGAGTCCAAGCGTACATTGATCCGCGGATGCATCGAAGGGATTGTGGCTTTGTTCCCACCCGGGGACCCGATGTCCTCCATCAACCAAGCCACCTTGACCACTGCCTGGGAAGCAAGGTTTTGGCAAGACGCCTATGGGGCGGACGGCAACGTCAACATCTACGGGGATGCAGTCGAAGACCATCTCATAGACCTCCGTGAGTGGAAAGAGGACTGGGCGTTGAACGATCAGACCGAGAGTGGCCAAGATAGGTTTCGCGCGTACTTGATGAGGTACCATCAAACAGATGTCCACCTCCGTCTCCCAACCATCGCCCCGTCAACTACAGCCACAGGCGTTGGCATAGATGACGACGCTGAGGGCGAGTCGGATGAAGAGCTCTACAGGGCACCCTCTCCTGCTAGGTCTCCTTACAATCAAGACGCTAACAACAACAACTCGCCCTACTATCTACCCACCACACCCAGCCAAGACTCCAACCTCGAAGAGGAGCTTTATGATCTCGCTGGGGGAAATGACCCTACATCTGGCGCTGAGGATAAACCCGAAGAGTCTCCTGACTGCGCTGACCTCTCCCTCGAAGCCATCATTCTCAAAGCTTTCGAAGACGATGAGACTGTGGACCCGTCTCTCCAAGCCTGTGTACCACAAGCCTCTTCGGAAGAGATGGTCTTGGATCCAGCCCTTGGTGATCACGCTGTCATCCACACCAGCACGACTCCCATCGCCGCCCAACCTATTACCTCCTCCTCCCAGAACCAAGAAATGGATGGCATCGATTATCATCGTACAGTGGAACAGCTTCTGATAACACAGGTACAAGAACATGCCCCCTCTATCATCGTTGCTGTTCCCGTCGAGGATATTGAGATGGGCGAGTCATCCACCGTTCCGCCCCCCTCGCAAGAACCAACCACTACCACCGCAACCATCACGGGTGATACAGAGATGGGCGAGGCAGCATCTATGCCCTCCTCTAGTGCCAAAGACCAGATTGTCGAGGACATTTGTATGACCTCAGACGAACTGCCAAAGCCCACTGCTGGTACCATCATCCCAGTCACTGAGATCAGTGCCACGGACACGAAGAAAGTCCAATTTCTTCCTGGTCTTGTCGCTGGTGCTTCCAACATTTTCGGCACGGACCCAAAGGTACCAGTCTCAATTCTCAAGCAGTCTACGCTTGTGCCTTCCTCAGGATTTGTCTTTGCAGGCTCTCCTTTTTCCTCCGCCCCCGCGTCCGCCCCCTCTCCCGCATCATTCGTCGCCCCTTCTGCTACATCTGGCGGTATTGTGGCGAACACGGAAAAGCCAGCGAGCCCTGCCTTCCCTCCTGGGGTTGCTACTTTTGGCGGCTTTGCGGGAAAGCCCGTGACCTCTACCTTTTCCGTTGCTCCTGCTCCTGCTCCTACCCCTACCATCCTTGGCGGCATTGCAGCGAAGACTGATCATCCAGAGGCTAAAGCGAAGCTGGAAGTAAAGAAACCAATCTTCGGTCCAGAGGGCACCAAGGTCAGCAGTGGACCAACCGGTACGAAGCCAGCATCGAACCCAAATTTCAGCTTGACCGGCATCAAGTTCGGCAATGGACTAGCTACTACAATCCCAGCGCCGAAGTCTGTCTGCGACTTCTGTGGCCCTATCCCCGATTTCTCGAGTATGCTCAAGCGTGGTGCATCCAAGGCTGCTATTGAGGTTCCAGCATCATCATCCGAAATCGCCAAGAACACTCAGACTGAGGAACCTGCCACTCCAGTGACGGCAACTGAGACCGTAGATTGCAATACCAATAATGGTGACGTCGAGACACCAGCAGTTGAGAATCAGGCAGATGCTCCAAACAAGACCGTCTCGACCTCGCCCGTCCCCACTAAGGTTAACGGCGTCTCCAAAGAACCTCATATAGACGAGGTATCAGATGAGCTCTTAACTGCCCCCAACGAAACTCATGTAGATAAGACGTCTGCAGAGTCTACCATCGTTTTTGAGACTTCAATCAAAGAAGTGGTCTCCCCGGTGGATCGTTTCCTTGCCGCCATGGAGGAACTCAAGTCGCTCCGAGCATGCCTGTCCACGACAGAGCTGGACCACGCTCTAAAGAAGAAGCGCAACGATGACTCCGATATCTTTGGCAAAGACGACTTTCAGGCGGGGCGCCGTCTCATGGCGTCCATCAAGAAAATATTCAAGCAACCCAGCCCGGTTCCCCTAAACACCAAGACGACGGCACCGGTAGTCGAGGAGAGGCGGCCTGAAGTTGAGACGCCCCAGAAGGTTGAAGACTCCAAGTACGAGGAGCATATCGAGAGCAAGACACAGCAGCAGCCCGTGGCCAAGGCGGCTGAGATGATGCCCGAGAACTCAATCAAGGCGACCGACAACGCACCCGTTTCTGCAGTGCAGGTATCTGCAAAGCTTGATTCTGCAGCCAAGGCGACGGAGGAGATGCCCTAGTCTGCAACCAAGGCGACTGAAGAGAAGCCTGGGTCTGCAACCACGGCAACTGAAGATAAGCCTGAGGTCAAGAAACAGAAGTGCACGGACTCCAAGGACAAGGAGCCTGTCGGGGGTAAGAAGCAACCTGATAGTGAAAATCTACAGGAAGAGGAGACGATTGAATCTTCTGTTCCCAAAGCCTCCCCTAGGTTCGATGAGTTGTTCAAAGATATCGCCGTCTCCAAAAATCTCTGGATGAAGGAGTACAACTTTTACGGCACTCCTCGAGCGCTCATCAACATTGCCGAAGAGCTACTTACCCACGACCCCGAGCCCTCCGTCCAAAATACCACAATCGAGAACCTGGAGGTCATTGCCCGCAAGTGGGAACAACTCCTTACTACCGCAAACCATTTGAAAGCTCTTCGGGAGGCCTTCAACGGCGACTATGACGCCACCTTCCGCCGCGACGCCTATAAATTTCGGGAGTACAAGCTTGTTTACGATACGTATATCTACAAGGCGAGCCAAGGCACGCAAACGCGTCGCAAATACTACGAGAGTGAGGCTCAAAACCAGGATGCTGCTGGTATGAGGATGCGCGAAGGCGTTCGAGAAGAGCTTCACGAACTCCTTGGCATGTATGGCGTGTATCTCGCCTCTCTGAAGGCCCTGCAGCAACTCTTCCCCTTCCACGAGGGCTTGGAGCATATGTCCAGCACGTCACTCACGGTTTTCCACGATCTCATTGAGGCTAGACACCAGGCCTTTATGTTTCCGATTCTTCCATTCCCACGCAAAGTAAGTTAATTTCGCCTGCGCGATAGTTTGACTGAACTATGCTAACCACTATTAGATTTCTGACGATCTGGCGGTTGATGACGCACAGCGTGCGTTGATCAAGGACTGCTGCGCCGACCCCATGGCCGACGCTGCTTATGATCAACTGATCGCGAGGGCCAACGCCTTGAAATTCGACTGAACACCCTCTCAGATCAACGACGCCGCCATACAATGAGACATCTCCCCCACACAGTGGTACCGCGATCATTTCCCCGATCACCACCTCAACTCCCCCAATCCCAACCCCAACCACAGCATTGTCCACGAACCAGCTAACGGATCCCCCACACACCAAACACAAAGCAAATTTGACGATCGCTCCCCTAAATCAGAAGAACTGGCGCTATTAGACTCGCAAGACGTTGCAGTCTGGCGCCGTTCGACTGATGGTGGGTTGAACTTTCTGATGATTTGCTTTGCGGGAGGTGTTGCGGGGGTGAAGTTGGCGAGCTAGACTCCCGGCTGATCCGATACATACTGAAAACTAGGCGATGTTACGATCGCTCCCCTAAATCAGAAAAACTGGCGCTATGAGACTCGGAAGACGTTGCGGTCGCGCGCCGTTCGACTGATGGTGGGTTAAGCTTTTGTTGATTTGCCCCGTTGGTCGTGTGTAGAGGTGAGGCTGGTTGGTGACTGCACTTTGTGAGGTTGGGCGCGGGATGGGGCGTTGGATTGGACGGTTGGGACGACCACTCGGATCGGGGTGTCTCCTGTTTTGGTGCCTTAGTCGGTTATTCATGAGAGTCTTGTAAATTTGGTCGTCGGAGTAGCGTCTGGGAAGGAGTTTGATAGGTTTTGTCTTGTGGCTTTCGTCCAGATTGGGAGTTTTGTACAACAAGGATAGACAATGGGGTTCCGGAGTGTTTAGTACACCGGCGTTTTTGCTGACATTCACTTGAGTGGATCGGATATACCCGGATCGTCTTGTTTTAGGAGTTTTGCGGATTGTTTTACAAAGGTTGATTGCTTCATCCGCTCTGACAAGAAAAGTCACTTGAGCCTGGTGGATAGCACATGACGGGGTTAGATAGTTTCCTTCATAACATGAGCTCCGTGGTTCTTTTTCCAACAACCTTGCTTCTCAACCGTGACCTTGACTCAACTCAACAACTCATCGCATTCTTAGCCGTTGATACCATCAACATGGCACACTCTACATCTTCCTCCCGCGCCAGCGCCTTAGCCCTACCTCTCCGTAAGAGAGCCATCCCTCACCACTCTTCCATTTCCCCCACTCGCCGCGCCTCCCTTCTATCTACCCTCCCCGTTTCCCCTGCCCAAGATCAGGACAACTTAGCGGATCTAGCATCAGCATGGAACGATCTAACCCTCTCTCAATACCCCGAAGGTCTCGACGATAAAGTGCAACGCTACCGAGACTGCTACTACATCAAGTTACTGGATGTACTCAATACCGCTGCACTGTTGCTCTACGCAGAAGAACCCTTGTCGGACCTGGCAACAGCCTGGGAGAAAAAGGTTTGGTGCGAGACGTACAAGGGTGCGTATGATCTAGACGCTTATGAGGATGCTATGGAGAAGCAAATTGACGATTTAGAATTTTGGATTGAAGAGTGGGAGGACGGAGATGGGAAGGAGGTGTTTGGAGATTACGTGATTGCAAATTTTGGAGAGCTAGGGCAAGAGGTTATGAACGCGGTTGTGCAGGGTGAGAATGAGGAGAGAGAGATAGAGGTGGATCTGGACATGGACATGGAAGGAGAAGACCGGGACGTTGGGGAGGAGGATGTCTCATCGGTGAACCTCTGCGCGGATGATTCTGGCTCGGAGTTCTATGATGTGTAGATCGAGTTCGTTCGAGATGCTGAAAGCGATTAGCAAGGCTGGTAGTTAGATCGTGGGCCTTGTCGCGGGGCAGTTAGAAGATCGGAAGACGTGATACGACATGGTGTGGCGTGACATATCACGCAGCGACCCGCAGACAGACCCACCTCCGCAATCTCGCCTACATCATGATTATCATAGCAGCCTCATCCTAACTTCCTCTCATTACCTAAACTCCAAAACGCATCTACAATGTTCTCCACAACTTACGCTCGCATCCGTGCCAGCGCCATCCGCCCCACCACAGCCGACGACAAGCTTCCGCCAACATGTCCCATCTGCCTCGAGTCATGGAATCGTAGCATTGACGCTGTCCGAAACTCTCGTTTCCCTTTTGTTACCTCCGATGCGACTGAACCAGCGGTTGCAATCAAGAAATCCGGACATATTTTCGGTCGCAACTGCTTGACACGATGGATGCGCGACTGCAACACTTGTCCCGTGTGCCGGATTGAGTTTTTCGCAAAGCCGCCCAAACAAGTCAAGTATGCTGATTACTTTGTCTTCGGGGGTGTGCCTGTTCATTTGTTTCGGTGATACCTGTGGTGACAAGGAATTTACAGAATGATGACGGGGCGAGAAGATGACTTCGAAAAAACATGACGGAGATTTCGTGAATATCAAGTAAGCGTCGGTTTGTTGGTTTGGCTGGTGCGCCATGGGTGAGCGCTGACTGAAGTCTACAGAATCATGGAAAGGCTGATGTAGGAGTTTGGCAGAATATCTCATCGAGATACCTTGTACCTTGAACAGATGTTGATGCCCCTTGAACTCACAGGGGGCGTAGACACGTTTATACCAGAAACTCTAGATATGTTTCCCAATCACATTTGACTAGTTCAAGAGTGCCATCGGGCCTTTCACGCTGACAAGTTGGTAGCTTGTTAGAAGGAAGGTAAAGCGACTGAGTCCACTAAGATCGTCACAGTTCACCCGAATAGGGTCTTCATGCAGGGATGGGCCGGTGTAACTCTGCAAACAGGTTGCTCTGCGCGCGAACTTGCCCATAAAAATCCTGGAGACGGCTACTACGGCATCAATTACACCATCACACATGTAGCGGACAAGATTCACAGAGCTTGATCAACCGGGTATCCCTACTCTTGCAATGAAAAGAAATCGGTTATCGCAATGTCAGACGATGTATATACATTGATTATTAGGTTGTGAATACAAACGGTTACTTGGCACAATATATACACTTCAACCTCGTGCAGCCACACTGTCTGGCCTCCTAGTTGTCATCTGGGAGATCCTGCAGTCCCGGCTTCCAGTAGTTGCACTCGGGCCGAATGTCATTACCCCAGCGCTCACACTTGCCGGCATTGGGGTTCGTGACACATTGTCCACCCTTCGAATCAATCATCTGGCAAAACGTGAATCTACAGATGCATAAGTCAGTTGAAATTTCATCAAGTATGATCGGCTGCGATCTTTCGGATGGGCGGGCCTTACGTAGATGGGTTGGAGTTGTAGTGGTAGCAATCCTTCTTTACCGGGTTGGCATTGTTGCAAGTCTCGTCGACGAAGTGGTACATGGTCTGGCCGCCACGGGCTTTGGTGCGCTGTGTCTCATTGTCAGCAAGCAAATTCGACTGTAGTGACTTGATGAATCATAAGTAGATTTCAAACTTACAACAAGCTTAGAGGTCGCACGAGGGACGCCGCCCTTGAAGCACGTCTTGGGGAACTCTTCCTTGGTAACGACAGTCGCGTCCTCTCTGCCAGCTGCGTCCTCGTCATTGCCAAAGTCTGGAAGCTTGACGTAGCTGCCGTCGGGGCAGCGAAAGGGGTCGCGGACTAGGACGCCGATGTTGATGCACCCGCCTGCGCCCTTGCACAAGTCGCCATTCCAGAATGCAGTCGCAAGAGGGAGACTGGCGGCGAGAGCGATGAGACGCATGTTGGATAGATTAGTAAGTAGCTTAAGGGAATAGTGGTGGAAGAGGTGGGTACTTTTCTGATGAGCGCGAACACAGCCAGTCTTATATACATCTTCAACCTCTGTGGTAATATAAATACCCGCATTAATCCCCAGGTACTTTTCGTATTCCAATTGGGAAGGTAACGATTCTAAGAAGGTGGAAGCGACCGAGAGGCGGTGTCAAAAACTCGAGCCACCAAAGAAATGTCAGTACCTAGGTAGGTAGGTGGTCATCTTACGACCGAGAGTCCAGCCGAATCATGGGCTGTGCAATTTCATGCGTATTCAGCAGTGCGAGAAGGAGGCGTGCATATGTACAAGTGACGTACGTACCAACAGAACCACCGCATTTTCGTATTTCAACCCAGTCGGATCTCTCGGCACTAGATCAGCCCCCAGATTATGTATTATGTTTCCAAACACTGGCTTACTCACAAAAGGTACCTAGGCGTTTTTTAGGTGTTTCTAATTAGAAATCAGATAAACGGGCCGAGGGGTACACCCTGTAACTTAGCTATACGGACGCAGGCACGCGTCGGGACAAGATCCAGATTCCGCGAATTCCGGCCACAGGAGATTTGGCAGAAGCGAACAAATTCGCCCGAAAATGTATATGTGTACTAGTCTGCACGAAGAGTCGTTCCATCTGCATGGTTGTATGTATCTGGATCGACTCCTGGATCGGAGGGGGATAGCATACCATAATGAGGCCCGTGGGTACTATACACAAGTTGCCTTCCAAGAAAGATAGTCATGTTGTCCTTGACAATGTCTAAAAGTTAAATAAATAACAAGACAAGCCCATTCATCCTCATTCTTATTTGAATCATATCGCCCTCGCAGATATACTACACAAAACGAGTCATACCATTCGCCTCGGCACAGCATCTAGAGAAACGAACAAAAATAGTATCGTATAACTACCGATATTGAACTTATATTATCACACTCACGCCCTTTACCACCAATCAGAAACCACCGCCACGTGTGCTCTTGTGTTCCTCCAGCAACTGTGGTACTCATGTGGAGTTGAACCGTATCATCAAACATAAGTGATCAGCAATTCAGCGTTACCGAACACCCTTTACGGTTACTCTTATCATAACTAATGTACAACTTGATGTTGCGACCATAAGCTTCGTCAGCTTGCGTGCTCAAAACAAGACGACTCTTGGCTCTTGTGTTCCGTCTTCCGTGTCCGCCCATCATCCGTCCACACTCACACCCACACACACGCTACCCCACACAATGGCAACGGCAGAAACCGTAGATCTAGGCCCAGCGCACGCCCCCCATCAAGGCTCCATCGATGCATTCGCCTCAATCCTAGACAGTGTAAAGGAGGAACTTGTAAAGTTGAGGCATGATCATGATAGTAAGTAGTGGTGGTTCCGTTCCGTTCCCCGCATTCTCTCTCCCGTGGCTTGTTTCCCCACACACTGATGGCATCGCATCTGTCGCTTTTGACGAGAGCTCTACTGAGCTTCTTCACCTTTACCTCTCATCCGTCGCCTCACGTCATCAGCGCACGGGGATGTCATAAAAAATTTGACACTATGCTGAAGTCTACATGCACGGTGTCGGGTCTTTTATGACACCCCCGTGAGCGGAAAGAAGCGACGGTGTTGTTGGTTTGATCAGCTACGCTACGCTGCTTTGCAGAGAAGATTGTCGGAGGATTTTTTTCGCTGCTTACTATCTCATCTCATCTCATCTCATCTCATCTCCCCTCCCCTCCCCCCTACCCATTCATCCACCAACCTAACACTCCCACCTCTAGAACACGAGCCCACCTACTTCTCCCGCGTCCACCACCTCCCCAACTCCGACCTAACCTCCTTCACCGCCGCGGACCTAACCAGCGTGCGCGTAGCCATCTCGGCCTACGGTCTGCACCTCTTCGGCAAGGTGCGGCTGCCCGCGCTGGACGACGGCTACATCCATATTCGGATCTTTGGGCGACCGAAAGAAGGCACCGATGGGAGTGAGTTGGAGGAGAGGGAGTATAGTTTGCATAGTATACATACTGAGGAGGTTGTGAAAGAAGATGGGGATAGGGTTTATAGGGCGGTTTTTGGGGAGGCGGATGCGTTGGAGTGGTTTGAGACGTAGTGGGTGGGAAAAGGGAAATTGCTGTGACGGTGATGTGATCTTGTTTTGTATATTTGATATTCAGTCTGTGATGACGGGATATGTCGACCTTGCTGGATGCAATCAAACGCCGCGCTCAAACAATAAAGTCAAAAATGAACCCAGGGAATCGCTATAATAGCCTCAAACAATCCCATCTCACTTGTCATCCTTCTTCTCTTTAGGCTCCTCATGCTCCGGTTCATCCTCATCCACCTCATCCTTCTCCTTCTTCTTATCTTCTTTCCTCTTGCGCTCTTTCTTGAGCGCATGTTGCACCTTCTCGTCCTTCTCTTCGTCCAGCTCGTCCCACTCGACATCGTACTCGTTGGCAATGGCCTTGATCTCCTTTCGGAGCGCGTTTCCATCTTCAATCAGCGCTTCCCATTTGGGCAAGTCGAAGTTGTGTTGTTGGTAGAGTTTTTGCTGTCGACGCGACACGGTGAAATTCATGGCTGAGCGGTAGCTAACTTCGCGGTTGTGGTAGAGGAACCATACGTAACCGCCGATAAGTGTGGAGAGACCGACAAGGTACTATGGGCGATGTTAGATAACTTCTTCAGGAATGATATTGAAAATGCTTACGGTGACGGGCTCCATGACATCCCAGCCCAGCTCGGTTTGGAACGTGAGGTAGTAAACCACACACCACCATCCTACAATGCCGGCGAAACCAGCCCTTGCGACGTTCTTAGCTGCGTTCTTGGCCAGGTCATCGCACTCTTTCTTGATATCTGCCATGGAACTAATCTTGCGCGATGTCTTCCGCAGACGCATGCGCAGATAGTATGTCCGGTCTGCGAAGCTGGGAACACCTACGCGGATCTCTTGCGGCGCACCTTCAATCTCAATAGCGAATTCCTGTCCTCGAGCGGCATCTCTGATAAAGTCGCCAATCTCGGTTGAGGAAGACCATCGTACGAACTTGCGTGATCCTTGCTTATCCGCCGGCGCATCGTGACCCTGTCCCGAGTACGATTCCACCCCTCCTTTTCCGGGTCCGCCTCGCAGTTCCTCTGCCTCTTCCGGTGTCTTCCGATCTCTGCTCAGCTTCCCGGTCTTTTGCGTCTTTCCGTCAATGCGGATCTCGTCGACCTGCTCAAAGTCCTCTTCGCCGTCTTGTTGGCTTAGACTTTCCTTGTCGATGCTGACTGGGGTGCTCTCCATTTCCTCGGGCTCTGCCTCTTCCTGCATTGAGTCTTCGGCACGAAAGTATACGTTAGGCTGTCTCTCACGCCCATCCTTGTCCTTGATGGTAGGGAGCTCGGCTTGTATCAATCGTTCGAGGTAGGAGATGGGTTGTTGTGGGTGTACCAGGAGTGCTAGCGGCTCGATGTCTTTGCGGTCGGTGTTGTGGTCGGTCGTCACTAGTGGAAGGATAATCTTGAGCATACGTGAGGGTGTGGTGAGTAGTTTGCCTATTTCATGTCAATTACCGGGCTGTTGATGGGTTGCGAAAACGTACCCTTGGTCATCGCTCCAGCGCTCCTCTGCCGCTTGACAGGCGGCGTGTCGCTTCCTTCTCTATGCCATGGTGTCCGTATTTGCTTTCCCTTGTCCTCCTGCAGCTTCTTTGCAAAATGATCCTTCTCTTCTTGTGTAATCTTCTCATTTAGCTCTGAAGCAGGTCTGGCATTGGAGTTGCTGTAGTCGCCGTACTTGACACTGTCGGCACGCGTTCGTAAGCCTCTCGACCTGTTTGCGAGACTTTGAAGCCGTGAGGATGCGCCATGTCGTGATAATATACTGGGGGAATTGCGTGCGAAATAGGGCGCACAGCGTGTTGATGGTAATGTCGTGACGCGCGGGAGCGAGGCCAGCGCGGAGAGTCGGTGCCTCATAATTAACGCCTGTGTTGAGAAGATGTAAGGTTCAGTCCAGGTCGGCGGGGATGAGGCTCGTGGAAGTAAGCCCGAGCAGAAGGACCGACGCGGAATGATGATCTGTCATGTAAATCCCCAGATCATCATGATAATAAGAAGACAGAACAACAGCTCTTAGTGTAGTTCAATCCAATACGTGGTGACCTAACATACCTCTACTCGGTTCCCTATGGTAGTCATACCACCAGAGGAGACCTTGTTCCAATAGGTTATGAGCCCGGTTGCCTAACCCAACGTTATTGGTTTTAAACACCTAACCAAGTCACGAAGGACTTAGATTCGAGAAGGAATCAAAAACACTCACCCAAGTCACGAAGGACTTAGATTCAAGCAGGAATCGGAAAAGAGAAAAAGTCGTGTACAACGCGGTTGACACGCAACCATACTTACACACACCGTCTCCACGCTCGAGAACCGATAACGACTGCACCACCCGCAGAACATCGCCCGCATCGCCCGCATCGCCCGCATCGCCCGCATCGCCCGCATCGCCCGCATCGCCCGCATCGCCCGCATCGCCCGAATCAACCGCATCACCCGCACAAGATGGCTGCAGAGAAGGAAGAATGGAAGATCCCCCAGCTCACAGCCGAAAACCACGATACTTGGTTTCGCCGAAACAAGGTCAAGCTTAAGGGGAAGAAAGTCTTCTATGTCTGCGAGAAAAATCTGGTACAGCACTGTCAAATAGCAACAGCTAGTAGACTAACGGAGGCTATGGAAGAGTTGGAAATTGCTGAAACAGACAAGCATACCAAGATCCGCGTCAACATTGAAAAAAGAGACAAGTACCTAGAAGATGAAGCCACTGCAATCGATCTCTTGTTTCGGTCGCTTAGCGAGGATGACCAAGCCCTCATTGACGAATACGATACTGCCTTCCAATTCTGGGCCTACCTACAAAAGAAGTACACCCAAACTGACGCCACAACTGCCAACATATACATGACTAGAATTCAAACGTTCACATTTAATCCCGGGAACACGATTGTTGGATCATGGGAGAAGCTAAAGGACTACCGACGTAAACTTGTAGCAGCAGACGCCGACACCAACGGAGCTTACAAGGACTCTGCACTACTACTCGTTCTTATCAGATCACTTCCGAAAGAATTCAAGACTACGATTGACACCTTAAACGCCCAACTTAACCTCACGGTTGAACAGAAACTTAAGTTTCTGGAAGAGAAGGAGGTTCGAGACCAGCAAGACGCCAACGAAAAAGCTCTTCCAGCATTCCGAAAGACGGAGAAGTATGTTCCGCCTTACAGGCGTCGAAATCATAAGAACTCGCCACTATCGTCTGACTCCGAATCTGGTGCCAAATTCACGGTCCAATGCTTCCTTTGTGATGGAGTCCATGGCGTACGAGACTGCCCAAGACGTGAGAGAGCTCGAAAGCTCCTTAAGGAATACGACGCTAAGAAATCATCTAAGCTGCTCGTTAAGACACCTAAGCAAAGGAATTCCCACAAAAGGACTGGCAAAGCATATGGAGCCGAAGAAGTCAATTCAGAGTCAGATGAATTATCTGAGACCTCAGACTCCGAACCCGAGGAAATTGAGACATGCCGTCTCTCAAAAGACATCGTCGGTAAGGCCTCTCCATCTACCTGGGCTGCCGACACTGGCGCATCCTCTCACATGTCTGACCAACCCTCATTATTTAGACGAATGATTAAGATCAAACGAAGAGTCGTTCGGGTTGGAGGGGGAGAATTATATGCGGACTGGAAAGGAGAAGCTCAAGTGGTGTGTAAGGATGGATCGTCGACATGGCTGTCAGAAGTACTGCTTGTACCTAACCTTGGAGTCAATTTGTTATCAGGAAGAAGAATTTGCGCAGCAAGCCTGAAGGGTCGTTTCAATTCACACGCACTATACTTCAAACTAGGAAAGAAGGTTATTATTGAAGCAACTATGGACGACGGCCTCTACGTAGTGTCACACATTGCCGATGGATACCAAGAAACAGCATTTCTAGGCACGGAACTCCATGCACCAGTTAAGAGCGAGCTTAAGGTTAATGAAAAGGAGAGATACTTGCTGTATCACAGACGCTTCCGGCACACCTTAGGACCTGGCAAAGATTGCTAAACTCCACGAAGTTACAACTCTCCAGAAGAAGATTCAAGTTCCAGAGAAGATAGAAATCTGCGAAGTGTGTTCTCTGACGAAAATGAAGAACAGCATCCCTAAGCAGCTGAGAGAGCATAAGGCCACGAAGCTAGCCTTAGTACAGTTTGACATTGCAGGACCCTTTCCAACATCTCTGCGAGGAAACAGGTGGTTCCTCCTTATTATTGACAGTTACACGCGAAAAAACTGGGTTATCCCGCTGAAGAAAAAGGGAGACGCACAAAGGGAACTCCAAATCTGGAAGACCTTTGTAGAACATCAAACTGGCGAAAAGGTTAAAGCTGCTGGAACTGACAACGCACCAGAACTTCTACAGCAAGCCGAGGAATGGAGAGTTACACAGGGCGTGGAAATTCAGCCTACAACAATTGCTTCCTCACACCAGAATGGACCAGCTGAGCGAAACATCCAAACCGCTGAAGCTGATATGAGAGCAATGCTGAAAGACGCTGGTTTACCAATTGAGTTTTGGGATGAAGCTGTCGAAGCAGACGCATACCTGCGAAACCGCACAAACACAGGACCCACGATCAATGGAAAGCAAGTCAGTCCTGAAGAGGCATTCACAGGAACGAAACCATCCATTGACCACATCCGTGTATGGGGGAGCAAATGCTATTCTTACATCAACCCCAAAACGATTCCAGCAGACCAACGACATGACAAGCTCGTGGACCGTGGCAGAGTTGGAGTATTCATGGGATATTCTGAGACAACAAACAAGCAGTTCAAGTTCTATTCGCCAGAGCTTGGATACACCTCAAGGACAAGCCGATTATCAGTGGACGAATACACCCCTGGAGGAAAAGTTGAACTACGACTGCGAAACATACCAGCTGGACCACAAGGGACGCAGAATACGATGCCAGACCGAAAACCAAGAGGAAGACCTAGGAAGGATCTGGAATCATCTCCTGCAGAACCAATGGAACCACCTCCTGCCAAATCAATGGAACTATCTCCTGCAGAACCAATAGAACCATCTCCTGTCGAACTAATGGAACCATCTCCTGTCGAACTAATGGAACCATCTCCTGTCGAACCAATGGAACCATCTCCTGCAGAAATAGTGGAGCCAGTTCCCGAGAACCCAATAGAACTGTCGTCGGCAGAGCTAACTCCCGAACCAGTTAAGCGTCACAGAGGAAGACCAGGGAAGCTAACGACTATTCCCCCTACTGCACCATCTGATGAGCGGGTTCCTAATCTTGTGGACGAAGAGGGACCCGAAGAACCGTATACCCAGTCTGTACGAGAAGAGGAGGCTCCACGATACTTCACCAGACAAGCCAAACGAAAGAGGTCTAACGAAGAGGTTGTTGAGGACGAGAGATTTAGCAAGATCGTTAAAGCTATGCTAGCCCAAGCTGGCCTTATAGAAGAGCAAACACGACTATCTGAGAAGGCTTTTGCAGCAACCGAGATCGCAGGAATCCAGATCCCCCAGACACACGAGCAAGCTATCAACGACCCAAAGTATGGAAAGCAATGGAAAGCAGCAATACTTGAAGAGATAATCGCGTTAATGGAGAATCGAACCTGGGAGGAAGTTCCAAAGCCAAAAGACGCGAACATGGTTGATTCAAAGTGGGTTTTTACAGTCAAAACAAATCTCGACGGGACTGTTGAGAGGTTTAAGGCACGCCTTGTGGCAAGAGGTTTTACGCAAGTACACGGAACAGACTACAACGAGACTTTCGCCCCGACAGTTCGCATGGACACCTTACGTCTGTTTATGGCCACTGTCGCAGCGGAAAACCTAGAATGTTTTCACTTTGACATCAAGAATGCTTTCACAGAGTCGCATTTGAAGGAAGAGATCTTTCTTAAGCAACCCCAGGGAGTAGAAGTTAAGAAAGGATACGTCCTTAAAGTTCTCCGCAGCCTATATGGACTCAAACAAGCTGCTCGTGACTGGAACTTGTTAATAAAGAAAGAACTTCTGGCATGGGGATTCGTGCAAAGCCTTGCCGACCCGTGCATGTTTATCCACGAAGAAAAACAACTCCGTATCCTCGTCTACGTTGACGACATTGCTGTTGCCGCAAAAGATCGAGCTCAAATTGATTGGTTCTACAAGAAGCTTTCTGGAAGATTCAACACCAAGAACCTAGGGGAGATTCATAAGATCCTTGGAGTACGAGTTACGCGAGACAGAAAGCGCCGCACAATCTACCTCGATCAAGAACAGTACATACACGCAGTACTTGACAAGTTTGGAATGTCTAGCAAACAACACAGAGACAAGAAGATTCCATCCGCAGATTACACGTCATTTAGGCCAGCCACTAACAACGACACCCGAATCGACATCACTGAATACCAGCAAGTGATAGGGAGCCTTATGTTTGCTATGGTTCTTACACGCCCAGACATTGCATTCACCCTCGGAAAGCTAAGCCAATACATGAGCGATCCAGCAGAACATCATGGCCATGCGTTGAAGAACCTGCTACGATATCTAAGGTCGACAGTAACAATGAAGCTACGCTACGGACCAGGGGGAGTACACTCGCAATTTGTCATCTACTCTGATGCTGACTGGGCAAGCGACATGGTAGACCGAAAGAGCGTTTCAGGGAGCACTGCAATGTTCTACGGAGGTCCAATATCATGGTCTAGCAAGAAGCAACGGTCTGTTGCAACGTCAAGCTGCGAATCTGAATACATCGCACTATCAACATGCTGTAAGCAAGGCCAGTGGATTGCTCAAATGTTCAGAGATCTTGGGTTCCCAAAGTACATTGGAAAAGACACCAACAAGGTCCAGATGCTAGGAGATAACCAGGGTGCCATTGCACTTACAAAGAACCCTCACCTTCACGAAAGATCAAAGCACATCGACGTCTGTTATCATTTTATCAGAGACCTAGCAGAACAAGGTAAACTCGACGTGGCCTACGTGCCAACTGTAGATATGGTGGCTGATGGAATGACAAAGCCGTTGCAGCGAGTCGCATTCGAGAAATTCAAGAACCAATTAGGAGTTGTCCTTAGACCGGACCTGCCCTGAGGGGGAGTGTTGAGAAGATGTAAGGTTCAGTCCAGGTCGGCGGGGATGAGGCTCGTGGAAGTAAGCCCGAGCAGAAGGACCGACGCGGAATGATGATCTGTCATGTAAATCCCCAGATCATCATGATAATAAGAAGACAGAACAACAGCTCTTAGTGTAGTTCAATCCAATACGTGGTGACCTAACATACCTCTACTCGGTTCCCTATGGTAGTCATACCACCAGAGGAGACCTTGTTCCAATAGCCTGGCTTATTAAGGCAATCTCGAACCTAGAGTAGGACACAAGGAGAGGAATTGAAGCTCAATCGTTATGCAGCTGTCATCCTAGGGACAGATCTGCATGCGACAAACAAGCAGGGCAGAACATTGAAAGATGACACGTACGTCATTGGTGATTATGCATCGAGTGGCTCAAAAGTGTGGCTGCGGCTGCGTGGCTGTGAAGATATCTCTGGGCTACACCACGGAACCGTATTGTTCAGCGCCCAAACACCAGAAGATGCCAACCACATCCAGAAAATTATCGACTGATTTTGTTTCGCATACCAAGTCTAGTATCGTCTCGGATTCAGAGTTTTGCAGTAGGCAGAGCTCAAATTTCTAGTTTGGTGTAGTACTCCTAGTCCTACGCCCCCAACCATACTTACACTGGAACTACTGATCTTGAACAAAGTCAGCCCCGAGGAGTAGAGTCACAGCTGAAGAATTTATGTAGCTGAGAGATTCTAACCTCTGCTTGACCCGACTGTATCCCTAGCATTGAGAACAAAGCTCCCTACTTATTAGTCAACACATAGCGCTCGGCATGCAAGGTGAGCATCACCCAGCTGAAAAGGAACCCCTGGGAAGCACAACCCCGCAACTAGTTCAAAGGCCATGACGTGCCATATTGTCTTTTCCCAACCGCGTATAGGTATCGTATATTGCTAGCGCAAGGGGTAGACCACATGTTGGTGCACACGGGACATATCCCCACAACCCTGCCTCCCGCCTACCAGACTGAAACATTGTTGTATTTCCAAGTCGGCATACCTACTCTTGTTTGTTGTCGCGACAATGATATAGGCTGGGATGTAAACCTAATTGTTGACAGCTTACGTAGTCTTGCGCATCGGTGACATTCAGTCTCACTTCCAAATACATCTTCACATCTTCCGCAAGGGGGCCCTCTTGAAATTGAAGGCCTTTGGTATAGCGCTAATGGCCATGGATTTACGCGGCGTTGTTCTAACCTCCTACGGCCCGTCGCGCGTCGGAGGGAAAGCCGGGCTCAACAGGTACATACTCTCTTTGGGCGTTTGATGTCGGCGATCATCATGGAGGTGCGGATAGATGGTGCCTAGTGCATCGAGACAAAGAAACAGGAGATGGTGGCGCTTTGTAGACCGAGGCGGAGTGGTACAAGATCAAATGATGCATGATTACTTTTGTCTCTATGGGAAGCGAGACATGGTATTGCCGCACCACTGGGCTTGTGTTCGAAGGGTGTGTAGTCGTCGTGCTACTTCGGGATGCTCAATCCAGGTTGGTGCTCCTGACGGGAAGTAATAAACACTCAGACGGCGTCTTTTAGTTAGAGTTTATCGAATCTGGATCGCGACATTTGCCCGGTGGCGTGGGCTACGCAGACGACAGGTAAGCCATGTACCGGTCATTTCGAGCCAGCTGGTGGTGCAAGCGACGAGTTTGTTCTTTGGTGGATGTGTGCGTGGAAAAGCCGCCGGTGCGTCGTTACGGGCAGGTCGGATGGTTGCTGGCGTGCCATGTACCCAGTTGCCGGCAGAGAAGGCTAGTGGTTAACCGTCACCCGCGCCCTGACTGTCGGGTTTCTCATCACTCAAATACCCAACAGAGTCACTGGTGTCACCAACAAAGAAATCTGATGGATGCGTTACACCATGAGGGGCGACGGATAGACATACATATGCAGGTCAGCAACAGCTGCAGCAGTTGGAAAGGCGCGGAAGGCTTGCTAGAGACTCCACTTGGTGCTATCAAAATTCGATTAACGCGACTAGGCGCATCCCCGATGGCTCATAGGTCCACATTATTCCTATCATGTTGCCCTTTTCGCATAGGCCCG